TGTTTTTTCTATCCTGTGCCCTTCCTTGTTTCACTGTCCCCAGCTTTAACAAACACACTCTCAGAATGACCTTGATCAGGTTCAGGTCCCCTTTCCGGTAACAAAAATAATGAATTAGTGATATTCCCTTGTGCATACTTTTATGTACATGAATAAGTCATAAAAATTACCCAACATTTAATCTGTTTAATCTAACCTCTGAGAGTTTTGATAGGAAATGCTGCAGTTCTCTCCTTTCTGTTTGAAAGTAATGGTAATGATTTTGTCATTGGCCGAACACTGAGGCTTCTCTGGGTCCAGCATTACTTGTCCAAATGTCAGCTCAAGTCTGCCCCCTAGAGTAGAGAAACCAGAGTGCCTTGACCATACAGTGAACTGTACTAAGTTCATAATTCTGACACTGGGCTTTTCCAGAGGACTACCACTTTCTAGTTTAGATACTGCTGCATTATTTGAAAGCATGTCAGATATTGATTTCATAAGTTAAAAAAATTCCATTTAAGGGTAAAAGATTAGCTACCAATACAATTTTTCATTCCAAGCTTTTTATACTGAGTCACCACTAGTGATAGGCACCTATTAAGTGCTGGAAATGCAAAGATGATTAAGATGTGGTTCCTGCCACTAAGAGTTCACGGCCTAGATGGGAAGGCAGACATGTAAGGAAATAGTACATTACATGATGAAACCTACATGAACTCTACTGTAGCACAGAAGAGAATATGAAAGGACATGGACATTTTTATTTGGAAAGGTAAGGAAAGAAGGAAGGATGGCAGAAAGGAAGGACAGAAGGAGGTATAATAAATTTTAAAATGTTGTAACTAGTATTAGTTCAGTTAACCCCCAGTGACACCAGGAATTAGTTAAATTCCAATACTTTTTAAGCTCAGGAGAACTTAAAAAGTAAAATTCAAGTAATGCAAAAGGAGGCCTGAGAGTTAGTCAGGATATATAGAAATATAATATGAGACATAGATGTAGTATTTTTTAGTAGCCATATTAAAAATGGAAGGGGGACAAGAGAAATTAATTTTAATATAATCTATTTTATTTCATTGAATATATCCAAAATGTTGTCTTTTTTTTAAAATCAAAGCAAGACATAAAGGGCCTAATATGGGGTAATGGCAATGAAAATGGAGAGAATTGGGTACATCCAACTGATATTTAGAAGCAAAATGGGCAGAGGTTGATGATTATTCGGATGGAGATTGAGTACAAGAGGGCTTCAGGTTTAACCAGGCTCTTGCTTAACAACCGGTAAATCAGACTACCGTTCACTGAGCTGGGGAACACAGGAGGCGGGCAATTGGGGGCAGACAGCAAGAAGTAATAGTATAATAGTATACTTTTAAAAGACTTTGAGATGCCTATGAAACCTGCAACTACTTCTATGCCCAAGGGCCAGCTTTGTATGTGACTGTGGGGCTCAGGACAGAGGTCTGCTGCACAGGAGAGATTTGGGGATCGTCGACACACAGGTAGCTGACACTGTGCAAACGTGCGGGATTGCAGAGAAAGAATAAAGAGACTGAGGAAAGTGACTGTCAGAGTTCAGAGGAAAACCATTGTTTAAGAGATAAGGGCCCCTCACCAGAGACCAGCCAGGCGTGATCAGAGAGGTACAAGAAGACCCAGAAGAATACAGGTCACGACGGTCCAAGAGGGGGAAGGTTGGTCAGCAGTGTCAGATGCTGCCAGAAGATCAAGCAGAGGAAGTAAAGCGTTAATTTCCTAGATTTTTTTGACAGTAAGGAGGTCACCGGTGACTTTGATGAGAGCAGTTTCTATAGAGTATAAGGATAGGAGTGAAGTTGCTGCAGACTGGAAGTGAGGGGGACGTGTACATAACTCTACAAGAAGTTTTCTGTGAAAGAAAAAATAGTTCAGGTGGTAACTACTGGATATCAAGGATGGTCCCTATTGGTATTTTATAAGGGAAGGTTTTTAAGATAGAAGAGCTTTGCCCTGACCGGTGTGCTCAGTGGTTAGAGAGCTGGCCAGTGGACCGAAGGGTCAGGGGTTCGATTCCCAGTGAAGGGCACATACCTGGATTGCAGGTTTGATCCCTGGCCCTGGTCCGGGCATGGGCAGGAGGCAACCAATTGATGTGTCTCTCTCACGTTGATGTTTCTCTCTCTCTCCTCCTCTCCCTCCCTCTTTCCACCCTCTCTAAAAACCAATGGAAAAAATATCCTCGGGTGAGGGTTAACAATAACAACAACAAAAAGGACAGAAGAGGCTTGAGCATGTTTAAAGGCTGTTGGAAAGGAACCATTAAATTATGCACTAGATTATTTTATTGATTTGATAAGATGTTAATGATAGATTGGTAACTGAAACGAGCTCGTGTCTGAAAAATAGTTTTTTATGTATGTGTCTGTGTGTATAAACATAGATAACATTCTGGAAGGACATATGGCAAGGTATTAACCATATTTATCTCTGAGTAGGTGCAATAAAAGGCTTTTCATTTTTTTTCTTTTTCTTTAACTGTATTTTTTATTAGGATAAGTATTGTTTTGTGATATAAAGAAGAGAAGAGGCTGGCGACTTCATTTTCAGAGAGGCCTCCCCTCCTCCATGTGCTAGGGTCCTGAAAATATGGTGAATATGACTTCCTTGCAGTTGATGAAATATATTATAAAAATCATGATTTTTCCAGGTACTGCCATTCTTGAGTCCAGGGAGGGGGAAAACCCTTCGCAGGTGTCCTGGCTGGAGTAGGAGGCACCTGCAGTCTCAGCCAGCCAGGCACTGGGCTGAGGGAACTGCACCCACTTGTCTCCTCTTCCCACGGATGAGCCACCTCTCCCAGCCCTTTCAACAGGGGCGGGAGCCACTGAGCAGACCATCCCCAAATCTGAAGCTTGGTTGGCAAGGTGGAAAAGTACCTGAAGGAAAGTTGGGGAAACAACTTTCCCCACAGCTACAGCATAATGCAGTCCTGTTGGCAGGGCAGGCCCCAGCCTTCCCATCATGGTGGCAAATAACAGGCCAACGTCACCATGCAAAAGCTTGCAGTTATCTTTTACATGTAAAAAAGCCAAAATTGTGTGTAGTGGTTGCAAAATGGATGAAGGTATAAGCCGTATGAAAACTGAAAGAATTCAAGTCAAAGATCATTGCTATTTTACTTTCCTTTCACTGTTTTCCTCTCCTTCCCTTCTCCTTTCCCTTCTTTCTTCTGTCTATGTCGGCGCTAGTTTGTGTCTTACCTAATCAATCAATTATAGTATCAGTTATAAGTAGTAGCTTTGGGAGATACTCTTCTTTACAACAGAGAGACTAGTTGCCCTTGGGCATTGATGTTCCAAGACAGAGATGAAGAATAAATCAGGAGAGTGTTAGAGAATGCTTGGGTCTTTTCCTCTAAGGGGAAAAAATAGTGACAGAACATGGCCTCAGTGTGTTAATTAACCTGATTGTGTAATCATGTCATAAAGTGTACATATGTCAAATCATTGTGTTGTATAATTTAAATATATACAATTTTACTCATCCATTATACCTTAATAAAGCTGAAAAAATAAGAAAAACCCATGCTCACTTCAGCAGCACAAATACTAAAATTGGAATAACACAGAAAAGATTAGCAAGACCACTGGTCAGGAATGACACACAAATTCATGAAGTGTCTTATATTTTTTAAATAATTCATGGGATGTAATATAATTAATAATACTGTACAGTGTATTTGAACATTTCTAAGAGAGTAGATTGTAACAGTTCTTATCATAAGAAAAAAAATTGTAACTATGTGTGGTGATGGACATTAACAAGCTTTATTGTAGTAATCATTTCAAAATATATACAAATACCGAATCTTTATGTTGTACACCTGAAACTAATATAACGTTATATGTCAGTTATTATTTAAGTAAAAATAATTAATAAATAAATGTAAAAGAATAGGACCTCGTAAAGTTATAATGGAGAGCATGCAGCAGACCTCAGAGAAGCGGTCTCTATTTCTGTCATGAAAATGGTAACCTGCTCCCACTCCTGCTCCGTTCTCACACCGTCACACACATACTGAGTCAGGACCCACTGCTAAGGGGAAACGGACGCCCTGCCTCAGGGGAGGAGCATGAGTGGGCATGAGCCGGGCTCTGCCCTGACTCAGCCCCCACGCCTGTGAGGCCTGAACCTTCCCAAACGTCAGTTTCCTCGGCCAGCAAGTGGAGACAAGCATAAGTCCCACCTAAAAGGGGTGAGGATTGTTTTAGGTGATGCATTAAAAGCCTCAGCCCAGGCCTTGGCATGCTAACGACCCGTTCTCATTAAACGCTGGCCATTCAACACACTTCCATAATGACTTCTAATAAGAAAGTAAACTTAAGAGTCACACCGATGACGTTAAGATTATTTGTGAGATTGACGTGGAAGAAGGGTTGGTGAAGATGGGGGGGGGGCTCTTTAAATATGTTTCTTTACATTCTCAAGAATTACTTTAGTCTATTAAAAAACCTTTTGTTCTTCTTATTCCCATAAAAGGGCAACACAGCAGATGAAACTCTCAGCCGAGATGCCAGGGCAGCCGGAGTAG